TAGGGGCGTTGGTCACACCAAACGGCATCACAACATATTCATAGTGACCATACCTAGTCCTGAAAGCAGTCTTAGGTATGTCACCCTCCTTCACCCTAATTTGGTGATAGCCTGACCTCAAGTCAATCTTGGAAAATACAGAAGCTCCCCTCAGTTGATCCATTAAGTCATCTATCCGGGGAAGTGGATATTTGTTCTTAATGGTCAACTTATTCAACTGTCGGTAATCCACACAAAGTCGACTACCTCCATCCTTCTTCTTAACCAACAACACGGGAGCACCCCACGGTGATACACTCGGCTGCACAAACTGCTTCTCCAACAGGTCCTCCAATTGACCCTTTAGTTCAACCAGTTTAGCAGGAGCCATCCTATAGGGAGCCACCGACACTGGTCCCGCACCTAGAACCAAGTCAATGCTAAACTCCATCTCCCTAACAGAAGGCAACCGGGGCACTTCATCAGGGAACACCTCAGCAAAATCCCTCACCACATCTATCTCAGCAATGACCCTCTCGGTCTCCACACTCATGGCGGCAAGCAGATGACAACACTCTGCTCCATTCCTCAGCAATGATTCAGCTTGGCCAGCTGAAATCAACAGCTCCTCCTCCACCTAAGGAAAGATCAACTACCTATTGGCACAATCTATAAGGATGCGATTGGCAGACAACCAATCCATCCCTAAGATTATGTCAATATCAACCAAAGGCAAACAGATCAAGTTCACCTTATACCTATTTCCATTCACAACAATAGAACAGCCAGCACACAACTCTAAAGCAACTACTGAAGCAGAAGCGGGCGTCGACACTAGCAGTCTCAACCCCAAATCACGCACCGGAACACCCAGCATAGCAGCACAAGCATAAGAGATAAAGGAGTGAGAAGCTCCAGAATCAAATAAAAACATCACATCCTTACCAACAGCTTTTCCCTTCCCCTTCACAAGATCAGAAGAAGTCGAAGCCTCGACACCCGTCAAGGCGAACACCCTACCAGCTGTAGTGGGCCTGTCACCCCTCTAGGCATCACCTCTCTGAGCACCACTCCTCTGAGCATCGCCCCTCTCTGGTCCGTTTCGGGTAGGACAGTTGAACGACTCATGACCCATCTAATGGCACCTGAAGCACTGGCTCTCCGTGTGAGGACAATCCTTGATAAAATAGGGTCTAGCACACCTGTAACATCTGAGAGTGGCACTTCCACCCTGTCTCCTTCCTCTAGCAGCATCAGAAGGTTGCCTAATGACAGGACCCCCTTGCTGTGGTTGGGGCCTATCATATGGCTTCCTCTGATTTCCTCCCTTCTTGGACCCAGCTGGTCCCTCAGCAACTCTAGTCACACGGTTGCCACCTTCCAACCTCTCAACAACCTTCGCCTTCTCCACTAAGGGCGGAAACTCAATGATGGCCATAGGAACCACCACCCTCCTCAACTCATGTTTTAGACCCTCAACAAATTTCCTGCATTTCCAGGCCTTAGATATAGCTTGCGAATAGAAACGAGCCAGGTGCTCGAATCTCATCGCATACTTAGAAACTATCATCCCACCCTGGTGCAACCGCATGAACTCAGCCTCCTTGGCGTGTCTCACGCTCTCCGGGAAGTACTTTTCCAAGAACAATCTCCTGAAGCACTCCCAGTCAACAACTACTCCTTTGGCAGTAAGCATATGGTGAGTACCCCTCCACCAATGCTCAGCCTCTCCTACCAGCATGTAAACAGCATATGCCAACCTCTTCTCCTGAGAACATCCCAGCACAGTAAAGATCTTCTCAAGTTCACAGATCCAATGGTCAGCCACCTCCGGATCTGCATCTCCCTTGAACTGTGGAGGATGGCATTTTCGGAACTCAGCAAGATCTCGGCTCTCCTGTGATCCCGTGGGCCTTGCTGCACCAGCTGCAGCTCTATCAATGTCCATCCGAGCAAAATAAGCATTTTGTTGTTGCATAGCCATAGCCATCATCTCCATGGAACGAGCTATCTGCTCATTGGTTCTAGTCATTGTCTACAAAAGTAACAGCATCTTCAATATACAATAACTAAACCAATTCACAATCATCAGCACAACAATCAACAAGGAAATCAGCACAACAAACATCACAGCAAAATAACTCAACACAGAGTTCAGCACAACAAAAGCCTAAAGGAACCACCCCCACAGAGTGTCCACTAGACTCGAACTGCTCTGATACCACTAAAGTGTAACGACCCGGCTGGTCACTACACACAACACAGCACACCGAAAACACCAGAAAGAAAGAACAAGTATATAAATATAGGATCTAGAATATATATATATATACAAGGTCCCATTCCGGCTAGAGTTAGAGTGTACAAACAAAATACATCCATCAATTGCTAACTAAGTAGCTAATACATCAAAAGAATAAACTTCATCTGCCAGCTACAGACCTTCTTTAGCAAAACACCAACCTAACCGTGCCCTGCTCCCAAACATAGTATGATCATCGCAGTCCAAACCGCATGGAAACAACAAAGGGTAAGCTAGTGAAAAGAAACAACATACATATATAAATATGTGAATGGAAAACAGCTGCAGCTATCAGCACATTAATCAGCACATCAACCAGCTCAACCAAAATCGGCTTAAAGATATCACAACATTCAGTAATAACAGCACCGACTTAGCGACTATAACAGCACCACAATAGTGGCTAATAACAGCACCAACATAGCAGTTACAGCAGCACCGCAATAGTGGCTAATAACAGCACCGACATAGCGGCTACAGTACCACAATAGTGGCTAATAACAGCACCGACATAGCGGCTACAGTACCACAATAGTGGCTAATAACAGCACTGACATAGTGGCTACAGCAGCACCACAATAGTGGCTAATAATAGCACCGACATAGCAGCTATAGTACCACAATAGTGGCTAATAACAGCACTGACATAGTGGCTACAGCAGCACCACAATAGTGGCTAATAACAGCTCAAGACAACAATATCATCAAATATAGCTATAATGGCTTACAACACAGATCAGCACAGCAATATACATCTATTACAGCTTATCATCATATTTCAGCATTATCATCTAATCGGCACAGCATATTCATCAATTACAACTCAACTCAGCATAAAACAACATTTATCAACAATTTCAGCATAATTCAACATCATCATCCGTGCCCGGCGCACTCATGGTCGCGCCCGGCGTGGTACAATCAGAGAATACCAGGGATCATCGCGCCCGGAGCAATTCGTATTACGCCCGACATGATAGGAGGCAGAGACCTCACAAGGTCTCATAAGCCCGACGTGCAAACCCGCGCTCGGCGCAAAGTAAGTAGAGACCTTCCCAGGGTCTCATGCCTGGCGCAATATAAATTGAGCCTGGCGCCACCTATGGCAGAGACTCCCAAGGAGTCTCCTCGCCCGGCGTGACAAAGTCTCGCCCGGCGCCACATTAGAACCATAAAACTTGAGTAATCTACTGATATCGCGCCCAGTTCCCTCTCACCACGCCCGGCGTGGGCCATCCAGAGGCTCACATTCTCAAGCTTGCCCGGCGCATACACCACTGCACCCGACGTGCTTGCCCAATGAAGTCCTCTGATGGTCACGCGCCCGGCGCGAAGAACTGCGCCCGGCGTGATACCTAGCAGCAACTCACTAAGTTCGAAAAATCTTTTCAAACCCTGCAAAATAACCAGGAAAATCCACATGCAATCGGCCCAAAGTACTACATTTTCATCAAACATCACGAAAAACCCTTCATTTTCAACATGTAACCATTAAATCAAGAAAACCCAAATTTTCATCCAAAACCCTCAAACTCCAAAAATCCATTTTTTTCACCAACATTCAGCCAAAATCAACCAATACCGACAGATAATGAGCTTCTAGCACTCAGTTTCATCCAAAAACAGTGAAAAACCTAGCTTCCCTTACTTCGATAGAAGAATCCGAGCTTCCGGGAAGAGAAGGGCTCAACGGAGGAGAAGAGAATGGACGGAGGGAAAAGAGACGGAGAAGAAGAACTCTGAATCACCTACTCAGCAGCACCACCTAAGGTTCCAAAAGAAAGATCAAAAGTAAGGAGCATGAAAAAGAGAAATGAGAGAGTTGGAGTGAGTGAGAGTTGAATGGGAGGGAAGAGAGTCACAAGTCTCACACTAAGCATCACTCACAAGTATTCAAATTATGTTATTTTCATAGTTATCTATTATTTTGTACAAGAAAAATAATATCACAATATTGGTATATAAGATTTTTTTTTGGATATATTTTATATTCAATTTAGTTAATATATCTTATTCTGTTAGGCCCGATAGTCCACCTGTTACTCCACCATAGTATGATATTGTCCGCTTTGGGCTAGGCCCGCACAGTTTTGTTTTTGGGCTCCTTCCCAAAAGGCCTCATTCTATATGGAATGGTGGACACCCTTATAAACTAGCCAATGTTCCTTCATTTTACAGATGTGGGACTTGGGATGAATCCCAACATATTCTTTAACAAAATAGTAGTAAATATTTATTACATATTTAGAATTATAAAACTTATAGAATTTTGTAATGTATGTGCAATACAGATATAGATTTAGCATTAGTTAGTTATATGTGAATTTATCCTAAATCTAAATTATTTATTAATAAAATACTGGAGTATATATATCTGTGCATTATTAATTATAAAATATAAAGACAAAAAAACTACATACCCGTGAAATGCACGGTATTATCTAGTTATTTCTAAATGCAGAGAATTCAACGATAGAGTAAGAAATGATTAAATTAATCAATATATCTACCTATTAATTCTACTGCAATAAATATAAGTTAAGCCCTTACCTGCAATCTACTTGTTCCCCTTTCATAGTCAACACCAACCATTCAAGCCTTCTATTTCCTCTCACAGAGTTCTGTCACAAATCACCTTTGATGTAAGGAAAGGTAAGAACAATCTTACTCTATGTATCTTCTCTTCTGATTTGATGGATAAGGATATAATTGACTTTAAATTAGGAGGTCCAATTTGAAGAATTGTGCTTTGCGGAGTTAGATGCATGATGTTTAGGATTTTGATTTTGATATTTACTGGTTTGGCCTTTTGGAATTTCTTTAATTTTGCTCTGCTGATCAACTTCTGATGCATCATCATTCACTATATATGTGTTTCCATGCTTTGGTTCGTTTTCATTCGTTATAGAGATTTAGTTTTAGATTTATACAAAGTCACAGGGCATGTGTCTCTCAATAGAAACATCATTATTATGAAGTTAAAATGAATTATATGCCATTCTTTTACATCTTTGATCACTTCGTATGGCTTGTTTCTACAGCTACAAAAGATTTGTAGGGATCTTGTTATGTAAAGCAAGTTTTTAGAATATTTTATGACCAACATAAAGTATTGACACATCTTTGAAGTTAGTTCCTATAGTAGTTGGATATGCCCTGTTATAGTGTGGTACAAGTTTTGGGAAGTTCAAAGAGGGGTTTTCAGCTAAAATATCCGTAGCCATGTAATGTTTGTCTGCTTATGGAGTTATCAAGATGTTTCATGAATAGTCAAGGTTTTTTTTTTTTAATATCAAAAGATTTCATTGAAGAGTCAAAAACAGATGTGCAAAAGTACATGATATGAAAGTTAAACCAGAGACACAAGTTTCCCAGCTAGACTAACCAATTATTTTAATTGAGTTTGGTGGACTAAGTGTTAACTGTTCTAACTTACTCTTTTAATTTTTATTTTTATCTCTGAGTCTACTGAATTAGAGATTAATCTTGTAATACTTGACTAGTACTGATTCATAGAACTTTCACATGGCAGAGATCAAGAACAAGATTTCGTACTAAATTGATCATCTCCAAACCACTACACCAACTCATAGGTAATTAAGTTATAATCATTTTATTATGTAATTTCATGTGTGGGTGCTAATGCAGTTCATTGGAAAATCAAGGAACCCTCTTCACAATATTGCCCAAAGCTTTATAGGGTGTGTTGGGTCCAACTCATATTGACACCTTAGTGGGGTGTATGTAGGCTTGAAATTAAATAATCCCAAGAGGATTCAATAGCTGAATACAATGTTAAAGTTTGGAACCTCTTTGTTGGTGCCTTCTGTCCAAGAGCTAGCAAAGCAACGAATCACCAAAGTTCCAGAGCAATATTTTCATCCAAATCAAGACTCTCCTGTTATATGCAACACAAACTCTTTACCACAAATCCCAACCATCGACCTGAGTAAGTTGTTATCTGAAGATGCAATTGAGCTAGAGAAGCTGGACCATGCATGTAAGGAATGGGGTTTCTTCCAGGTTTGAATAATTATTCCTCCCTTATTATCATTTTTTCACTAGTTAAAACATCTGCCAAGTACATCCAAGAGTTCATTTCATTAAAATGCAAGCCAATAATGCATTTGTTAATGAAATTATAGTTGAGAAATAAGATTATGTTACATTATGAGTTGTATTTCTATGCATTGTAGGTGTACAAAAAGTTATATATATTATTAACTAATCAGAAAACATATTAATGACTTTAGAAAATTATTGTAAAAAGGTCAACAGTGCATGTTAATTTTTAATTAATTATCAATTTAAAAAAAGAATCACACTGTCAATACATAGATTATTATTCTTGAATTAGATAAATGGCAATATGAATAGTATCATGAATATCATGTCGAAAATGAAAATCAATTAATGATCAAATGATCATTGTAATCCAGCAAGGTTTCCAACTCCTTCCATCGCATAATTTTGACTAATAACTAAACATGGTAAATCAGTTAATTGCTTTTAGATTGTTCATTCTCGCTTGAATTTTAAGGAATTAACAAAAGAAAAATAAAATTTCATAGGTGCTTGTTATTAATAACACACCATGTGATACAAAAATTGAATTTGGTTTTATACTTAACTCTCGTGAATATGCCATTCAAGATATATATTCCAGCAATAGCTAGTTTCACAAAAATATGAAGGACATATATTGAATTTTATTAGCTTCAAATGGCATCTAATTTGAGATTACTTATATAGTTGATTAATCATGGAGTCAACTCTTCCATGGTGGAAAATGTGAAGAGAGGTATTCAAGAATTCTTTGATCTTTCAATAGAAGAGAAGAAACAATTTTGGCAAACCCCGGAAGATTCTGAAGGTTATGGCCAGATGTATGTTCAATCTGATGATCAAAAGTTGGATTGGGCAGATACATTAATCATTCACACTCTTCCACCTCAGATAAGGAACCCTCGGTTAATTCCTTGTTTTCCCCAACCATTGAGGTTGTTTCCTCTTATATTAACTACTACGTACAAGTTTGAGTTATTATATGTATCCAAATCTAATAAGTTGGTTCAATGCAGGGACAACTTGGAGAAATATTCTTTTGAATTGGGAAAACTTTGCATCACAATCATTGAGCGTATGACACTAGCTCTTAAGATTGAATCAAATGAAGTGCTAGAGTTATTTGAAAATTTAAATCAATCAATGAAGTGGAATTATTACCCTCCATGTCCCCAACCAGAAAATGTCATTGGAATAGATAGTCATTCTGATGTTGGTGCCCTAACCATCCTTCTTCAAGTCAATGAAACAGAAGGCCTCCAAATAAAAAATGAAGGAAAGTGGATACCTATTAAACCCGTCTCTAATGCTTTTGTCATTAACGTTGGTGACACTTTGGAGGTAAGTTGCATAAAATCATTCATATTTTTTCTCATACATATAAGTGTCTTCATGTGCAAATTAACCTATATATGGAGTTTAAACCATATATACGTATATACTTGGTAGCTAAGGTTAAGTTAATGCGTCGACAAAAATTAATCATACACTCGATGTTTAAGAGTATGATGAGGATACTCATAGTCTTACTGAGAATTTAATAAATTATAGTTTCTTTTAAAGAAATTTTATGATCATCTTTAAATGGTTTGGCAGATTCTGACCAATGGATTGTATAAAAGTATTGAGCATCGAGCAATAGTAAACTCAAAAAAAGAGAGAATTTCCATTGCCACCTTTCATAGGCCTCAGATAGACAGAGTTATTAGTCCAATATCAAACCTGGTTACAGCTCAAAGACCAGCGTTATTCAAGAAAATTGTAGCTGGAGATTACTACAAAGCATTCTTTTCACGCAAGCCACAAGGGAAATCATGTCTTGATGCCGTAAGGATTCAAAATGAAATTGATGAATGATATAATGCATGTGCAACTTTGCTTGGAATGGATATAAGCGACATTATTCTTCCTAATACATTTTTATTATTGATTGAAATTTATTAAAATTCACAAATTTTATAAGTTTTATATTTTATTTAATAAATCTCTCTACTGGTGTAGTAGTAAGATTTACTAAAAATTATGATTTTTAACAAATGGAAGAGAAACTATTAGAATGTGTGTTGTTAGCGAAATTTGTTTAGAGTTATTATGAATGAGTCAAGTTGCTGATGTGATATTGAGAGTTATTAGCTTGCAAATTTATAACGGAACTTAAGTTATATATTCTTATAAACAATATTTTAAGTTGTGATAGCAATACATAGATGGTCCATGCAATCCGCAATCAAGGATTTGTGATTTTATAACCTTGATTATGAAGATTATGTGTGCGTTGTCATATTTATTTTATAATCTCAATCCTGCAAATCTATAGGTGAGAAATTGTTGGAAATGAATTTAATAGAACACAAGAAAAAATAAATATTTAGATTTATCAATAAAATCATTATCAACAACACAATGAATACCATAAAATTAAAATCAAAACAATCAGTAACAATTAATTAAACATAAAGAGTAAATTAAAATATTAAATAATAAGTTTAGAGTAGTTTAGGTTGAAGCACGCACAACGCTATCCTTAGAGAAACGTCCCTACTGCACTGGTAATTTTAAGTTTATAGTGCGCTCCACTCTCTAGATACGTCAACCCGTTAGACCGTTCAAGTGCAGTGAAAGATCCCCGAACCAAAGAACACCACTCCAAAAAATATATTTTAGTAGTAGAAATAATTTTGAGGGAGAGATAAACAAACTTGTTGTATATATCTTTTTCTATCTATTTTTCTCATGTACTAATGTATATATAGGCACAATATTAGATACCTTTTTTTTTTCAAATCAAGAGTACGTGCATCAGTTTTAACTTTTATTTACTTTGCAAACTTTCCGGTAACACTAAACAAGTGGATGTACTTGTGTGCTAACTAATTTGAAAAAACGTGAGACTTGGTCAAAGGTGAAAAAACAAAAACTATTTTGGTTTTGGAACGTTATAGTATTAAAAAAATAAAGATTAATTAGATTAAATATGTAATTTAAATTTTAAATTATAATATAATTTCTCAACAATTCTCTACTAATTTAAAATTTTAAATATGAAAAAAAAGATATATATATATATATAAACTTAAATATTTTAATGGAGCATGATATATTATATCATTAGTATAAGGAAGCTTCTGGGCTTGAGCCTTATACCTAGTGCATATGAGCTTCCATCTGAGAGAATATGGAGACATGATTGTCTTGAGCCATATCCCTTTGGACAAATTTTAGAACATAACACGTATAATAAAGGTGTTCATTTGAGTTCTAATCAGTGGAGCATATTACAACCTTGTGCATGTATCTTGTTTCGTGAATGTTATTTAGAGATTTCCCATATCTCACAATAGCGGCCCCACCACCACACTCACTAGGTGAACCCTTCTAAGGGTGGTCCCTGACACCCACCCCTACAACAACTGTCATTGAGCCCATTAAGAGGTATTTTTAATTTTAACACAATAAATATAAATATTTGAATACCTTAACCTTATTACTGTCACAGTTTACTTTAGAGTACACTTCGCCATAAGAATGGAACATGCAATAATTTTGTAATTTACAATGGTGTACTTAGTTAACAAACAATTTTGTTATTACCCACTGAACTCCATTTATGGGATCGCCATTTATGTGGAAACGGGTGTCCATTGTTGCAACTAGTTGATGGGCTTTAGTCCCATTCCCCTCAATGATTCAAGTACTTGTTGACGAGTCAACCTTTTTGTGAGTGGATCTGCAAGGTTATTTTCAGACATGATAAAATGAACAGAAATAACACCATTAGTTATCAAATTTCTGATAGATTTGTGTCTTATTCTCAAATGCCTTCTTTTTTCATTAAAGTTTTTGCTAGTAACTTTAGCAATAGCAACTTGACTATCACAATGCATTGAGATTAGAGGTATAGGTTTATTTAATAATGGCAAGTCATATAATAAATTTTTAAGAAATTCTGCCTCACTACTAGCAGTATCTAAAGCAATTATTTTAGATTCCATAGTAGAACGAGAAATAATAGTTTGTTTTGTAGATTTCCAAGCTACTACACCTCCAGCTAAAGTAAAGACATAACCACTAGTAGATTTAGTTTCATCAGAGTCAGAAATTCAATTTGCATCACGATAACATGCACAGTGAATTCCATAATTAATAGTTCCTTTAAGATATTTAAATAACCTTTCTAGAGCAAGACAATGTGAATGATCAAGATTATGAGTATATCTTCCTAACCTACCAACAACATATGCAATGTCTGGTCTTGAGAAATTAGATAAAGGCAACAAGGAACCAATAATTTGAGAGTATTTAAGAGAAGAGACACTTTCACCAATATTTGTCTTCAGTTTAATACTATAATCAAAGTTTGTAGAAATGTTTTTCACATCAAAATAATTAAGCTTTTTAAATAATTTTTCAATATAATGTGATTGTGTCAAAACATAGTTTTTTACTCAAATAATACTATTTTAAAAATATTTACTCAAATAGCAACCGTGCAAATTTATTTCCCCAACTAGCACTTTTTATTGTTCACATTCCAAAACAGGCCGTTCTGATTCCATAACGGGCTGTTCCAGATTAAAAACTAACACATGACGAATAAACCAGAACGGGTCGTTCCCCAGATTCAAAAAATGCATATAAAAAGTGAATCCAGAACAAACCGTTCTGAATAAGGAAAGGGTCGTTCTGGCCTACAGATTCAGGCTTCTTTTTTTTTTATGATTTTCATTTATCAAATACCAAAACTTAGATACTACCATCAAGTAATTAAATTTATTGAATATTAACATTATAAATATAACTAAATAAATTTATTAAAATTCATTACAACAATAAAGATCAATGGTGGCGTGACTAGGAGTGTGACAATAGGAACAATTTTTTACACGATTATGTTATTCTCTAATGTCCATCTCTGTTCTAATCCTGCTGGACTTTGGCCAACCCTTGAAAGTTCTTTTGCGTTCTAGATTTGGCCACAAAGTTGGAAGAAACGCAACATCCGAGAGAAGTTTCACCCGCTAAAAAATTTACAATAAGGCTAAATGAAATGTGGTATGATTGCAGCAAGTTTCAGAAAGTTCATATCCCTTGCTTGCATGACCTGCTGGGAGATTTACAGTAAGGCGTGACCAGGAGTGTGACAATAGGAACAATTTTTTACACGATTATGTTGTTCTCTAATGTCCATCTCTGTTCTAATCCTGCTGGACTATGGCCGACCCTTGAAAGTTCTTTTGCGTTCTAGATTTGGCCACAAAGTTGGAAGAAACGCAACATCCGAGAGAAGTTTCACCCGCTAAAAAATTTACAATAAGGCTAAATGAAATGTGGTATGATTGCAGCAAGTTTCAGAAAATTCATATCCCTTGCTCGCGTGACTCGCTAGGAGATTTACAGTAAGGCTAAATGTAATGTGGTGTGATTGCGGCAAGTTCCAAAAAGTTCATATCCCTTGCTCGTATGTACTCACTTCATGCTTACATGCACATCACGACTATCAAACTTACATATCTCTCATATATACCTTACAATAAGTTGCAAAAGTATACGAAGGACAGTTGGAGAGTTCCGACATGAAGATTATTGGCCTACTTACACTGGTCCAACTTTGTGGCCAAATCCAGAATTCAAGAGAACTTTCAAGGGTGGCCAAAGTCCAGCAGGATTAAAATAGATATGGACATTACAGAACAACATAATCAGTTTCTGCCACCATTGATCTTTATTATTGTATTGAATTTTAATAAATTTATTTAGTTATATTTACAATGTTAATATTCAATAAATTTAATTATTTGATGTTAGTTTTTGAGTTTTAATATTTGATTAGTAAAAATTGAACTAAAAATTTTTATTTATAGGCCAGAACGGCCCGTTTCAAATTTAGAACAACCCGTTCCGGATTCAGAACGACCCGTCCTGGTTCCACTTTTTATGTGCATTTTTTGAATTCGGAACGGCCCGTTATGATCCATTCGTCATGTGTTATTTTTTAATCTGGAACGGCCCGTTTTAGAATCAGAACGACCCGTTCTGAAACAGTAAATAGTGTTAGTCTTGGAAATAAATTTGCACAGTTGCTATTTGGGTAAATATTTTTTAAAATAGTATTATTTGAGTAAAAACCTCGTCAAAACAATACCATCATGATTCTTAATCAACTTAATACCTAAATTAACATCAACAAGACCAAGATCCTTCATTTCAAAATTACTAGACAAGAAAGACTTCACATCATTTATAACATGTAGATTACTACCAAAGATTAAAATATCATCCACATAGAGACATAAAATAACACATGAATTATCATCAAATTGTTTCACATAAACACATTTATCACTATTATTAAACTAAAATCCATATGAAGAAACAACTTGATCAAATTTATCATGCCATTGTTTAGAAGTCTGTTTTAAAGCATACAAGGATTTAAAAAGCTTGCAAACTTTATTTTCCATTCCAGGTTCTATAAAACCTTCAGGTTGATTTATGTAAATTTCTTCTTCCAAGTCACCATTTAAGAAGGTAGTTTTTACATCTATTTGATGAATTTCCAAATTAAAAACACATGCAAGTGCAATTAAACTATAATAGTAGTAACTTTAGAAACAGGAGAATATGTATCAAAGAAATCTACACTTTCTACTTATTTATAACCAATAACAACGTCTTGCCTTAAACTTATCTATGGAGCCATCTGTTCTTAATTTTTTCCGAAAAACCTACTTACAACCTATACTCTTGCAGCCAGGAGGAAAGTCAGTCAAAAACCAAGTTTAATTGATTTTAAGAGAATCTATTTCATCATTAATGGCTTCTTTCCAAAAAGGTGCATCAATAGATCTCATAGCTTCACTATAAGTTTTAGGATCATTTTCAAGCAAGAAAGAATAAAATTCAGGACCAAAATCTTTAGCTTTTCTAATTCTTTTATTGATTCTAG